CTGCCAAAAAATGTTGGATTGTGGCAGTAAAACCGATTTCGAATTTTTGCCTACCGTAATACAGCAGTGTGAATTTGTGCCCCGTGTTACAGTAAGCTCCGTTCTAAAAGAGAAATACGACGAAGTGTGAGTGTTTGAGAGCAGCTAGCAGCATTGGATTGGTCAGAAAATTACCGTATTCCTGATACAACAGCTTGCTTTTTTGACCGCACCTTCATGAAGCTGTTGGTTAATAGTCGTGTTCTGCTCAAAGTGAATTAAGAGTTTTACTGGAACCGAAGCCTTCCTTGCTTCTTACTAAACCGCTCTCTTCTGCTCACTATGCTTTTTAGTTTCAAGCGTCCCTTCTGTTTGTTCACTAGATCTTTCTTCAGCTTTTGCCCATGCGTAATCCAGCACTCCAGCAGATCCAGATCTCACATAAGAACAAGTAAAATTGTGAGCAAAAAATTGCATAACTTTTGCATTAGATGACATAGAAATTTGAATTTCACGAGGAAACTTCAATTTTTTGTGCTGCTCCGAAAGTTCAAACACCTCTCATGCATACATGTCCAGTACTCACAAAAGAAAATTCGGAAATTCCAGTCGTGGAATTCTTTGGTTTGGAGACCGGAGAAGATAGCTGTAGTTTACAAGGATCTTGATCTGCAACCTAAGCCAGCTTTTTCAGAACTCCAGTCGTTAGTCGGATATTGTGCGCTATTGTTCCACCTTCTAAAATGTTCTCTCGCCAGAATTTTTAATTTTCCGTTATACCGATCCAATCACTCACGTATTAATCCTCGAAATTCCTATTTTTTGATCTACTCTACTTTACTTCGTCGCTTCTTCAAATCTCAGATCTTGGTCACAAGCCGACGTAAGCATCAACTTGCCGCTTCGTTATTCTCTGACCTCGCAGGATCACCGGTCACACATGATCATTGTACTCTTCCTTTTTAGTGGATCATGACTGACATGTTTTCAGGGGATTAATTGCCGTAATTTTTTGCGATTAATTATTGTAATTTCTTGACTTAATCCTTGAAGTTTCTTCGAAAAGGGTAATTTTACAACATCATTTTGATCCCGCTGGCTTAACTCTTACATTTCCGTGTGAATTGCCTTACGATTCACATGAAATTATGACCACACCACGTCTTTAAATATAACTTATATATAACCGCCTGTATATATAACATCAAAAGCAGCAGCAAGATTATGAATATGAGCTTAGCTTTTTCATATGCACGCCATTTCTGCTCGGATATGACAAATTTCAAAGGAAGACTTAGTGGCTTTTTGTTGGGGCCCTCTAAGGTAGAAAGCTGCAAAATTATGTTTTCTGCTACTGTGCTGCCAGAGAAATTTCAATTTAAAGCTTCTGAGTAAAGGGCGTAAAAGTTTTTGCAGGAAATTTTCTAACTCGGGGACCGGGAAAATTCGGAAGTTAAGATTTTAGGATAAAGTTTCCGTCCGCGCGAGTTTTTTTAATACAGCTCTTCTGCTTTCATCAGTAGCCACTTTTGGTTCCGTACTTCAGCACTATGGACATAGCGATGCTGGTGAGGTTGGGCATTGTCCTTCCTGTTCGGTGTGTCGAAAACGAATGTTATCGGCAAAACTATAAAACTTGTACTAGCCTTTCTCCACGCAGTTTCCGGCTGGAAATTATGGCGCACATTTACTGTCCGTCAACTTCTTTCAAGTTAGTACTACTTGTTAACTCCATGAATGTGAACAGCAAAAGATTACATTATTTTGATGTCTTATTTTTTGAGCCCACTTCTTGGAGTGCTGCGTAAACATTTTTTTCTAGTTCAGGATGTTTTATTCATGGCAAATTTTTGCAGTAACTAACCAACTAATATGGAAAAATCTGGCGATGCTTTGGCTGTTGAATACAACAGCAAAACAAGAACTTGGTCAGCCAGGTAAGAATTCCTCGAACACGGTAATATACCCTAATTTCTTACTTGTTTTGCATCCAGGCTATTTGATTTGAGTGTTTGTTTTTGGTGCGGGTAGCTGCAGCTGGACACTACTCGTGAAAATTTCTGCATTCAGCGAAGGGCAAAATGTGGCAGAGTTTCGTCTCTTTGTTGACTCAATTTACAAATTTGCTTTTAGATCTGGCTCTTAGTTCTTTCAGGATAAACATTCCGGACCCACTGCGAGGGTTGGTTATCGGGCCGCAAGGCTCGGTAACCAAAGAAATACAACAAAAAACGAGATGCCGTCTTGCGTTCCCGCGCAGGGCTGACGCGACCGGGATCGTAGGTATGTCGATTTCCATTTGCTGATGTAAGGTCTCCAAATTTTCAATATTACAAGAACTCAATAGTTTTCTTAGTTGATAATAGTCAGGGTAAAAATGTCCATTTTTTAAATTTGATCAAAGTACCGAAGTCATGGAGGCTTGAGCAAATTTGGCTGATCAAAGTACCAAACTCATGGAGGCTTGAGCCCATCCAAAAAATTTCGTTCCGATTAATTTAGAAATGACTAGACTTTGCATTAAGTGAGCGGAGTAAAAGAAAAAGTAAAACCGGTAATCTGAGCTTGCTGCTTGGCTTATCTACAACCCGTCGGCACAACACATTAATGAAAGGTACTCGTGAAGGAATAAACAGCTACTCGCATGAAAAATATGTAAATGAAGCAGACGTGTCGAATGGACACTGGGTACTAACAGAAGATTTAGAACCCAGGATCGAAAGGCCTGGCGTAACCGCACTCCTCACGTCGTAGTATTTCAGTAACATCACTAACACGGGATACCGGGCACCCTTAGTATTATAGGTGGTTGATCAGCCAGTTTTATTTGCACAGTCTTGAACATTTCTGAACTTTGCTTACAAGAGATTAGGGGCACTAGATTTTAATGGATTAAAAGCTCAGCTTGCAAAAACTGTCTTTTATATTGCAGAGCTCGCATCGGCAGTCTCCGAGCGAAGTGTATTAATGTGTTGGAAGAAAGTTAAAACGTTGCTACGTGAAGTGCGACACCGCGCCGGCTTCACGCACTTCGTTTTAGTACCGGTGACTTATGTAAATATTAGGAGGCGGTTCTGCGACTTCTGCCGCACTGTGCAGCAAGACAACGAACTGCCGGTAGCGTTTTTTTCAAAATCATATTTTTTCCAAATCATTTTTTTCTACTCATGATCTGAGGGTGACAGCGTTTGAAGCGGAATAGTACTGCTCAACACTAGCTAAGGATATCTCAATGCTGCTCGAATCTTGCCAAATTGCAAACAGCTAAGCTGCTAATCTTTCCAGAACATAAACCGAAGCCACTAGGCAATGCAGCATAGTGAGATGAGGTATACTAGATTAGTTTCTTGGGAGTGGGGGAGGAGCGGGGGAAGGGCGGGAAGGAGGAAGGAAGGATGGCGAGGCCACAGCTGGTCAAAGTATTGTTTAAAATTTTGGATGAAGAACCAATTTGCTTCAAAATGCACAGAACTGACTCCTTCTCACGGTAGGGGTAGAGCTAAGAGTGAAATTTACAGTCTGAGGACCATTTCTTGTTCTCGAAAATGGAAAAGCCACGAGTCAGCCGTAACTCGTAATCTCATTTATAACTGTTTCGTTACTTTTACTGGGCTTTTTTTGCAGGAGTCTTGCAAACTTGCTGCCGTATTCCAGAAATCCGGCAGGTTGCATCTTACAATAAAGATGCTCACACTGCTGGATGAGGAAGAGGTAGCAGCGGCAAAAAAGACTTTGGAAGCAGCAGTCGCGGGCTCTATGAGGTAAGTAAATTTGTATTCTCACTCTTCACTTCTCTTTGACATTGTTTTGCATACTTCCGCTCCCAAACAACGATGAGGTACGAAGGTGCTTGGATTGGAGATGGTGCAAGATAGTTGCCTAAATATGATGGGTATCGTTTAGTAAGAAGAAACAATGCTCTTGTGCTGAAGGACAAGAATTCCATTTAGCCAGTGGGATAATCACTCCCCTGCGGCTTATTCATCCTATTTAATGATAAATTGGTATTGGCATAGGCCCGTTTGGCCGAAAATGGCATAATTTTTTCGAGATAATAAGCGATGTTGTTTGCTGGCAGCTTATCACTAATGGCTCTTAAAAAACGAAAATGCGACCTAGCGCGAGAAGTCTACACGCTGCTAGGACATACTGTTTAATAGTGCTGCGAAAAACCCAGATACGCTAGATTCATTTCTAGAGTGAATATTTAAATTTCAGCAAAATCCTGGCAAGCCAGCCTTTGGAAGCTGAAATTGGAGGGCTCGATATAATGAACGACGATCCGACGCATGCCCGAGTGCTCTATGCATGCGTATCATCGGGCAGGTTAGTCTTATTCACAGCTTTCACTCTTCTTCGTGCTCATCGATATAACAGGCATCGTACCAGTTTTTCTTGGCTTTGAAATAATAAATATCACTGCACTCACGTTGACCATGTCTCATCATCGTCATATAACTAGCCCAGCTCCTTTATGTAGCTTAATTTAGCCCGGACTTGACCCAGCCTTGTTCAGACTAGACCAGACTAGTCTAAACTTCACTTCAAGCAAAGTTGAGGAACCAATATAACCGTATGATAAGCGTGAATTACGTGAATATGATTTTTCTTATTTCCAGACTTCAAAACTTCGCGGACGCAATAGCGAACGCGATGAGCGACGCGGGATTTGCGCTGAAGGAAAAGTCTGTGAAGCTTCACATGACTCTCCTCAGCGCTAAATATGCGGTTCGTTTTTTATTTGATCACTACCTCATCTGGGATAACTCTTTGTAATATTAGTGACTTTGATATTCAGTTAAACTTTATACCCTAGCATCTGGCAGCCTGTATTTTTCGCAAGAAATGTTAGACGTGCACACTGATCTATTGGCATTTATACGGCCTTCAAGTACTTATAACATTTATAATTCTACAGTAAACCATTAAACAATTCCAAGAGAAAACAAATATTATTATAAAAATCCTAGTAGTTTGCCAAAGATGCAGGGGGAGTTGTGCTAATGCTGGATTTCACAAAATACCAATCTCTGGATATGCAAATGTCTGAAGTGTCCACTATAATATGTTCATATTGATACTTCCGTTGGTGTTAAAGAGTACCTATTTCAGGAAGGATCGATCGAAACGATGGATGTCTCACGGCTGCTGGAAAAGTACGGGAATTTTCAGTTCGGAAGAATAACAATACGTGAGGTAAGCTGAAAATCTGAAGTAAAAAAAGAGTATAGTAAAACTGGTGTTGCAAAATTCCAAGCATAAATGATGAATGCATGGGTGAAAGTAATCGGCAGCTGACCGCTAGTACTTTCTCCCCCAGATCTACTATCCTTTCTTCAAAAATGGATCAGTTTTTTTTGTTATCGGAGTTCTAAAAAATTCGTCACGTATGTAGACGAAACACGCAAATACACATGT